CTGTAGCTCCATATCCAATGTCTGGGACTTCAATTACAAAGGACTTGAGATGGCACCTTAGTTGGGGTTACTATTGCTGTAATGAAATGCCATAACCAAAGGCAATGGGGAGAAAAGAGTCTATTTGGCTGACATATCCTAAACCACAGTCTGTTGAGGGAAGCTAAGACCTGAACTCAAACAAAGGGGAAACCTGAAACCCCAGGAGCTGATGTAGGGGCCATGGGGGAATGCTCTACATGGTTCGTTCAGTCTGCTTTATTACAGCATTCAGGACCACCAGCCCAGGGGTGGCACCACCCACAACGGGCTGGGCCCTCCTGCACCAATCACTAACTAAGAAAATGGACACTGGGTGTGGTGGTGTGCACTTTTAATCCCAGTGCTTGGGAGTCAGATGCAGGAGGAGGATCTCTGTGAGTTCAAGGCCAGGCTGGTCTACAAAGTGAGGTCCAGGTCAACTAAGTCTAGAGAAATCCTGTCCCAAGAAACTAGAAGGAGAGAGGGAGAGGGGGAGAGAAAGAGAGAGAGGAGAGAGAGAGAGAGAGAGAGAGAGAGAGAGAGAGAGAGAGAGAGAGAGAGAGAGAGAGAGAGGAAGGAGGAGGAGGAAGAAAGCGAGGGAGGGAGAGAGACAGAGAGGGAGGGAGGGAGGGAGGAGGAAGGAAGGAAGGAAGGAAGGAAGGAAGGAAGGTGGTTTATAGGTTTGCCTAACAGTACCACCCTATGAAGGCATTTTCTCAATTGAGATTCCCTCTTTGCAGAGGACTCTGGTGTGTGTCAAGTTGACACACACTGTTCAGATTTTCCTCCAGCCCCACATGTCTCTTTTTTGGATTGCTTCCACTCCTTGCCTGCAACTCTCCTGGCCAGACGTTTCACATTCCTGGGGGGAGATCCACCATCTTGGGGTCTCCACTGAGGCACAGGCTCTGTCACGTCTTCACACAATGACCTCTTGCCTTCTCACGGACATCACACAGGAATCTCCCCACTCCAGCACACCTGTACCACACTCTCCCTAGCCTCAGTTGCTCTCTGAAACTTGAGAAGAAAAATCCATGACCTCTTCACTCTCGAATCCTTTCCTCTATAGCCAGCACCACAGAGATGACACTACCAAGTTTGGCTGTCAGTTTAGGATGGATCCTGGTCCTCTTGAATCTCATTAGCAGCAGTTGCTTTCTAGAAGCAGAAAACTCCATACGCTCCTTTTCACACATTGGAAGCTTATGTGGGTGGGGATCTTGCCTTGAGAGCCTCATTCCTTTAGTTCCAGGCAGAGGAAAATCTTCTTTAATGGCACTAATCTCCTTCGCAGTTAACCTCCCTTCCAGCACAGAGCCTTGGCTGTAATGTTAAGCTTTCTAGTGCTGCTTTTCTCTCTAAACCAGTTTGGCTTTTCTCTTTTTTCTCTAAACCACAGGTTTGCTTTTTCTTTTTTTCTCTCTGAACCACAGTTTAGCATTTCTCTTTTCTCTCTAAACCACAGGTTTGGTATTTCTTTCTGGTCCACTTGTTCCCTTCATTGTAGATCTGCACAAGCATTATCAAAAATAACCACACCACAGACTCAGAAGTATGCAGTCTTGAAATTTTTTCCATCAGAGAAATGAGTCCCTTACTTTTTAACTTAGCTTCAGGCAAGTTCTCAGGACACAGGCAGAAAACAACCAGATTCATTGCCAAAATATGTGAATGGCCTCCAGCAAAGGTGCCCTTAAAATTCTTTCTTCTTTCTGAGATCCCTTGAGCTAGGCTTATACAATCTGCATTACTCTCGGCAATGCAGTCTTCTAGGCTTCTACTAGAGCTGGCTTTTAAGCTCTGCCATTTACTTATTTATTACACCCTTTATTTACTAATCTCAACAATTTATCTAAGATAACATTCTAAAGTCTTCTACAAGCCTCTAAAACCCAGCATGATCAGGTTCCTTACAAAACGTAGCCCACTGTCTGGTACCATCTTCTATATTAGTTACTTGTATGTTGCTATGATAAAACTCCAAGATGAGGGTAACTGATTTGGACTTATGGAGGGCTAAGAGTTCATAGGGAGGCATGGCAGTGAGCATCAGGCATGGCATCAGGACCAAGAAGCTGAGAAATCACACCTCAACCACAGCCATGAAGCGGGAAGAGTGAACTATAAGTAGAGAGAGACTGAATTCTCACAACCCACTGTAGTGAATTACTTTCTCCAGCAAGGCTACATGTCTTAAGCCTCCTTGAATGGGGCCACCAATTGAAGAGCAAGTATTCAAATATCTGAGTCCACGAGGGATATTCCTCATTCAAATAACCACAGTATTATTTGTGTAGGTGCATGTTCGGTGCTAATAGTCATTTTACTAACACAGATGACCTGTCACTTCTGGCTTCTACAGTCACAATCTGAGTGTAATCTAAGCTCTATCCTTCTTTTTGATGATCTCTGCCTGTTCATTCACATCAGTAGTACTGTGTAGCAAGGAAAGAATAACATTTCAGGGTTCTCATAGCCATAAATATGAATAATCTTCCGTGCCTAAGTTGGTGACACAGTGTAACAACATTAACATCCCCTCAAGGTGATGATGGTTAGAGATGACATGAGTATAGCAGTGGCCCAAAGGAGGCAATCTGTTGGTGGCATGGTGGTGATCTTGACTCCTCAGATCACATGTAGACCTAGCTTCTTTCTGATAACCCCTTCCTCTTAGCCATCATTGCCCACCCACACTGAGAAGCACCTAGAGCTATGCCTTTGCCATTGATGTCAAATTCCCTTACAAACCTTCCTGGGGGTTCCCTCCACCCTCCTGTGTTCCCCATCACCTAATAACCTAATACATAGGCAACTGTTTCTTTGTCCTTTCTTGTCCCTTATCCTCTTGTCACGACTGCTTTCTCCTTGTCCGTGTCCTATCCAAGGCTCCCAACCATTATATAGAGGGTCACAGTTCCAGCTTACTGTCCATTGCCAGTCCTTTTGTCTTCTGTTCCCTGTTCCCCAAAATGCTCGGTGAGTGACATTCACTGGCTCAGGCTTCCATACTCTCCTTTATTGCTGTTGACAGTCAACTTCAGCAAGTCCTTGATATTAAGGAACATGATTCCTGTTCCTCACCACAATGCCTTATCACCAGAGCTGGAAGAGACTTTCTACATACCTCTGGAAGCTCTTTATAGCTGGGTAGCTCAGATTTTACTATTTGGGTAATTTTGGGTGATCTAGAAATTCGCTGGATTGATTTTTACCATCAGCTATTAGTTGAAGTATCTATTCTATCCCTGTTGATTCCATGTCCTCTAAGGTGTTCAGCATCAATGACATTAGCTCAGGTGACATATAACAAAGGAGGCAAACACTTTAATTTTAAGTTATGATCACTCACTGTGAGTGTGTATACACGTGTGTAAGTGACAGTGCCATATGCATGAATGGAAGTCAGGACAACTTGCAGGAGTCGATCCCCTCCTTCTGTCATGTGGGCTCTAGTGACCAAACTCAGGTCAATGGGCTTAGAAGCATTTACGTTTACCTGCTGAGTCACCTCACCAGCCTGAAGGCAAATGTTTTCTAATCAATAATGCTATGAACATTTCCAAATCCAAATGGAATGTAGTTGTGGGTTATGTCCTCTTTGTGTGATAATTAGTGTGATAATTCAGCTTCACGCTGCACCCTTTCTCTCCTTAGCATCATCATCAATACTGGCAAATGTGTTTTGCTGAAGGGGAAGCTCACTGACAAGGTTAGTAATGAAAACTCATTGAGGGCTATTTGTGGGACATTCATCTTAGTCTTGGGTGTCCGTGAGTCCAGGAAGCAATGAAATATTCCATACACCCATCCACATGACTTCCTTTGCTCCTTCAGGGTCTGTTTCTCCTTATACAGGGTCAGAGCTGCCTGAAATAGGGCAGCTGGAATTCAAGAAACATGATTTAACCTTTCGTCTTTGAGGAATAGCCAGAGCCCAATTAGGCATGGCCAAAGGGCTTGGAGCTATTCTGCTTTCTGTGGTGGGTATACACCCATGGGTCCGTTGCTTTTGAGAAATTGCTTTAGCTATATCTTGACTTGAATTTGGAACCTACCTCGGGACAACTTAAAGGAAAGTCCAACTCCAGGATAAAGTCAACTGGACGAAATCCCCATTGTTCATCGGGTCTGATGTTGATGGCTGGCCAGAACTGGGTGTTTTTGGGTACCGAGTATATTCCTGAAGGAGCAGTGGTTTGGTCCAAGCAGAGAGTGCAGGAGGAGACAGCTTCTGTCACTGAGATGTGGAAAGATGGCCTGAGTTACCTGAGAAGGAGGTGCACTGGGCTCTGCTGTGCTTCCAGGACCTCCCCCCCCCCCCCCCCAGCTTCTACATGATTCTCTTGTGTTTTCTTTGTCTATCACACCTCAATCCATTCCTTCCCCTGCCGTCCCGGCCCCTGGTGATGTCTTCTTACCCTCGCGCTGGAAGAAAAAGTGTGTGCGCGCATTTTATCTGCTCACTCGGCTGCAGGGGTTTCCCTTTGATATGGAAAGAATAATCTTAGAAATTCCACTATAAAGTATACAGGAGAAATAAGATAAAGCTCCGGGAATGTGAGCTGCCGTTGAACATCCTTCGAATAATGAGCTGAAGGTGGGCTGTCCTTGGCATTACGCACTTCGGTGATCAATTATGATAAATCTGAATTGTCAGCGGGGCTGTTTGTCTTTGATTTAAAACGCGTCGCTTAATTTTGTCTCCGTTCTTCAAGATACTCAGACATAAGCGGCATTCATCAGGTCCCTGGGACCATTAGGCGCTCCGCATCCCTAACTGCTCTTTCCCCTTCCCTGCCCTGAATATTTTTAGTGAGTAGCAATATCGCCTCTCTGGCACCCTGCCCTACCTTGCCGCTTGGTGGAATCGCCCGCATTGGTGTTTGCAAAGAGGCTCCTCTGCTGGCTCAAGGGACACTAAAGGAGTGGGTGGGGCCAGAAGAGATTTAAAAGGGAGATCTGAGTCTCTCTGGGCTCCAAGGAGAGAAGTGCGTCCGGAAGGAATCCTATCTGCAAATTTCATTAGGCTCGTCCCTCTTTAGGCTCTTTCGTTCTTTTCTTTCTCAGTTCTCTCTGCGTGGCTGTGCCTGTCACAGGGAGAAACCAATCATCGGCGGGCCTCCAGAGCTCTCAGGCTCGGTGAAATTTGTCATAAGGGTGTCAGCTATTTCTTATTGCTGTCCAAAAAAGAAAAAAAAGTGAGATAAAGAACTCTCTCCTGGAGCATTTCAGGGTGCCTTCAGAGGCTCTCAGAGGTGGAGAAGGAGCTGGGAGGCAGCATTCAAACAGCTAAATAAAAGATGCCCTGAGGCCGAAGGCCGACTTGGCTGGAATTTCTGGGGGTCAGACACACGGACTCCGCCTGCTCTGCGTGCTAGCAATTTAAGTCACTGTCTGTTGACCTTAGAACCACCGAGACCATGCTGCTCACCTTCCTGCCCGTAGTTCTAAAGATTAGTGTTGTCGGCAGCGTCACAGCCCAGCAGCACCGGAGCTGTCAGCCAAGTCCGGAAAGAAGCTGGACTTCCACTTGTGCAGGTAAGTAATCCGAGAACAGGAGCCCCCTCCCCCGGGGACAATGTCTCCAGGCATCTGCTCAGTGTCCCCCTTCCCCCCTTGGCTATCTTTGGGCTTGTATATTTGCTTCAGTTGTGCATTCTGAAGTGTGTGTGTGTGTATGTGTGTGTGTGTGTGTGTGTGTCCGAGTAGAGTTCAGATACTGCCAATTATAAAATGTCACAGCTCTCCACTGTTCTGCCTATGAGTGTATATGTCTCATTTAAATCCAGCTGGATATTTCTTTTCATGTAAACCTCAGTCTTTATTCTGGGAAGATAGTAACATCTAGCTGATCAGTTCTGCACTAGAAGTTAGGGAAACATATGGTGGCAGTTGGTCTTATTGGTTTCAAAAAGTCTTCTTTCTGATTGTGGCAGAAAATGCCATAAGTCAATTAAAAGTTTTTTGGTTTTGTGTTTTTAAAAAAGGTCTCAAGTTCAGGCTCTCATCTTCCACCGTCCTGGACTTGGAAGTTCTGACACAGCTCCTGGGTTCTTAGTAACAGGTGCACTGTGACTTTGCAAACTGCTGAGAAATGACAGGGAGTATGAGAGCCTCAGGTCTTCCCCTAAAAAACAGGGTTTTCTCCAAGAGGAATCAGGACTTTTCCGATTGCACATTACAGCACCTACTACTCTGGTTGAAAACATTTTCTCATTGTTTATTCTTTACTGCAAGGGTGAGTCCCTACTGTGTAGGCAAGGAAGCTACTTCCATTTATCCAAGGGTCTACACTGTCCTGGAAATCCCTTCTTACCATCTTTCTTTTTCTCATTTGTGTTTTTGAGACAGTGTCTCATTCTGTAGCTCAGACTGGCTGGGAACTCACTCTGCTTCCCAAGTGCTGGATTACAGGTGTGCCCCATCACGTCTGACGTATTTATTATTGTCATCTTGCCCTTTTAAGATAGGGTCTGGCTACCAAAAATTAAAAAAAAAAGTAGATTGAAGAAAACATATCATATTTTCAGAAGAGAAACTTCTGGAAGATAGCAGAGAATCGTGGGAATAAGAGAGAAGAAAAGTGATCCAAGTTGCCAGAGCTCAGGTGCTGTTCCTTTGTTGACCTCCAAACTGGATAGATAGCTCAGAGAAATCACACATAAGGTAATCAGGTGTCCCTACTCACAGGGGCAGAAGGTTACCAGGAATCATTTGTTGCAATTGCAGAGCAAATCTCTGGGGCTTTGAAGGAGGGGATAACTGCTAATTACCTCTACACCCCCAGGACAGAGGACCCTTCCAAGTTCATCTACTTGTAAACTTTCTCTGATCTTCTAGTCACATAATCCCAGATAATAACGTCAGAAAGCAGTTGACCAAAGACAGAACTGACCTCTGGGAGCCTGAGCCTCTTAGCTTTTGGAGACTGAAGAGAAAACTCTTGGCCACAGTTGTGGTGCCAGGACCGGAGTGTCGCTGGGGCATTTGGAAAGTGACCAGAGCCTGGTTCCTCAACCTGCACGGCTTGCGAGGGGTAATGGTAGGAAGCATTCGTATGGCTAGCAGCTAGAAGAGACGAGCCATTAGCAGACCTCAAGATGAAGAAGAAGCTGAAGAAGCAGTCATGTGCTGCCTCCAGGTCCTCTGGAATAGTGTGTGATACCTATGTCTTGTGCTCCTGCCCACCCCTGCCGATGGCTTTTCTGAGATAGTTTGCACCAGGTTGACAGGAAGCTCAGACAGAAGTAATGGCATAAGAGACTGTTTCACAGTGTGGGAGAAATAGGGTCTAAACTTCTAAATGACAACAAACTTGATTTTAAGTTTGCGTTGCCTTTTTAATGGTTGGGCTATTTTACAACGTTCCTGGGAAACCATAACCTGTTTCTCAGGATCATCATTAGGGTGTCACAAGGTAACAGGTAAAATACCCCTCACCCAATGGCTGACCCAATAAATGTCCTCTTGGGCCCCATGACATGGCTGAAGTTCCTTGATCAGGTCATTCCCTGCACTGGCCTATTTTGGACACTGCAGGGGCATGGTAAAGACATCATGGAGTGAGGTCCTCTATGTCTTCCCCCCATTGCTTATAGGTCACAGTTTGAAACCCTCTGCTTCACTCTGAATCTTAGGTTAATTGAAAACTAACTAGGTCACACCCCGTCACCCGTACATTCCAGAGGATAGCATTTCTTTCTCTGCTGTAAATAGATAATGGTGACATCGTCTATTTTTTCCCCCATTTAAATTCTACTTGTACTTCTTGCCTTTGGCATTGAGACTGTTCACCTACATGGCCAACGTGGCCTGGCAAGAAGCATGCTTTGTGGCCTTGCAGCAGGATCCAGGTAAAATGTCTTGAGATTGCTGCTCATGTGAATACCAGGCAGTGAAACCGAGGAGATAACACTGCAGAATTAGATTTTCTTTCTGCTCACCAGGATTGAAATCAAACGCTTTCTTGGCTTTTACTTAAGCGAAATCAGATGAAGACGGCAGCAAAGAACAACGGTTAGCAAGTGGGTTCTGAACTTTAAATCTCTTTACCCTGGAGGACAAGTGTCAGTTGGACAGGGAACTGTTCCAGCCTGGCGTCTAAACCTGTGTTATTTGTTCTTGGTAAATGACGGTCACGGAAGAAGCCCAGCTTCAGGGAACTGAGTGAGGGAGGGATCTGGGCATGGCATCGAGGTAGTTCACTGGGTAGACTACTGTCAGCTACTGTCAGCAGTAGACAGTGACGTCACTGATTTCAGAACGGGCTGCTTTGGCTGATTGCCCAGTCATGTGCAAAACAGAGAAATTTTCAGGTCCAAATCTTGTCTGTTTTAGAAAATGCAGCCAGCCTGAGAAATGTTTGTTTTGGCACCTAACTACGAGAAACTGTAGGACGCTGTTTTGCAGACGCTCTGTAAATATAAACTCTGTGGACAGACAACCTGCCACGTGGGACAGGTGTGTCTCGTTTTCTTCACCTTAAAAGAAAGTTGCTTGTTCCCTCTTCCTGGGATTGTTACCAGCTCTGTGTTAACGCAGCCGAGTTCAGACTGGAACTGTCACCCACGGAAACAGTGCTCTTTCTTCCAGGGAATTCCTAAAGTTCTGCGAGACGTTTCCCAGTTGTGTGAAGCAGCCTACTGTTTGCTTTAGCTTGAGCTATTACTGCCAACCTGAACGGTTGGTTCTAAAGACATGTATGTATGTATGTATGTATGTATGTATGTATGTATGTATATATATCGTAGTTTCTAATGCTAGAAACGGTAGTAAGCACAGTAACAGCGGTTACGGAGACCTTGGTGAAGTTCCTCCGGAGGAACCGTCTTTGAAGTCTGTCCCTGCTTGTCCACAGGCTCACACTGTCATCCTGAATGTGTATACTGCTCGTGTGACAGAAGTATTACCTGGGTATTAGGTGCACTAAGAGTGCAGAGTTCTTTGGTAGATGATGTTTGAAGCTGGAGTAGCTTTTCACAGTCAATTCCATATCTCTTCCAGCTGTCATATTGGCTAGGCACTGGGACAGAGCCAGGCCTCTGCAGGTGAGTGCCATTTTTGCCAGGTGTGGGAGAAGGAAAAAATTTTAAAAAGGAAACAGAAGGGACCTTTCTGTTTCTGACAGGCTCTCTGAAAATGCATTCTCTTCTGGTATTCTCGTCGCCTCTTGACCCTTCCAAGCCTGGACTTTGAACTTGGAGATCTATTTTCACTTCTGACCTGGACTTTCTGATTCTCCTAAGCAAGCACACCAGGCACGCTCATGTCTGTCACTGTTTGGATTTCCCAAATATTTCCTAGGATACATCGTGTCCTGGAATTGTGGGAATGTGCTGGCATTTCGGACCCAGCTTGCTCCTGTGGTAGAGAGGCCTGATAAGCGATGATTTGCTTGCCCCAGTGACAGACTAGAAGGACCGTTCCCGTTCGTAGAAAAGCACTGCCGTCCTGTGTGGTGAACAGCCATCTCCCTTCTCTGCACAAGCTCTACGGGATGGCACAGTTCATTCAGAAGGTAGCTCCTTCTATGGGTAGATGGTTGCTAGGATACAGAGAATCAGAAGAGCATCACGGCAGTTGCCTTGATCTCCCACGAGGCATGTCAGTGGAGAAGTAGTGTTTCATTTCATTCACATATTAGAAGCGCCTTTGTTTTGTGTTATTCTAATAAGACACGTAGGAGAAGCTGCGGTTAGTTCCCTGGAATGAGCCGAACCTAGGATGTTATTTGTTATTTTTACCATCCTCGGCAGCAAAGTATTTTATAAATACCTGTTCTTACTGTGATCACATTTATTTGCCTTCAAGGTTTCTAATAAATGCATATTTAAAAGTATTTTTCTGTATGTTTTCATATGTACAGCTGTGGCCCAGAACTCAGTTATAGCCAAATTCAGAGAATAATGAAATTACATGGAGGAAGAGGCATGACATTTTTGAATTTTTTTATTCCTCTGTTTTAAAATCTTTTTGTCTGGGTCAAGCAGGGTTGCACACGCCTTTAATCTCAGCCCTCAGGAGGCAGAGACAGGTGGATCTCTGTGAATTTAAGATCAGTTGGGTCTCTGTAGTGAGACCATGTCTGTAAAACAGAAAAATCTTTTTGTCTAAGCATACTCATGTAACAAACATCTAGATATTAGCAAATATTTATATGGTTAGCCTTGCAATTTTAGAAACATTACTTAAAAGTAACAAAAAAGAAAAGCATTTGTGTTAATTATAAATAAGACCCACATCAAATTTTATATCTTAAAATTTTTTTAAAGATTTTAAGAAATTAATCTTTGAGATCTTCTTTGGGGTGTGAGCATGAAATGCCACTTCGCAGTAGAAGTTGTTTAATTTAGGTTATGTAAATGTGTTTTTTGAACAGAGATCTTTTTTTGTTTTGTTTTGTTGCTGTCCTTCCTTCCTTTTCTTTTTTATCCTGAGATAGAGTTTCTCTGTGTAGCCCTAACTGTCCTAGGACTCACTCTGTAGATCAGGCTGTCCTTGAACCCACAGAGACCCACCTGCTTCTGCCTCCTGAGTGT